ATACTAGATATAGCGCCTTTCTAGAGTTATATAAAACCTGTACTAGATATAGCTAAGCTCTTCTTTTTGTAGCGCGTGCCTAGGATATATAAGGGCCGCGCTAGGTAAGCCTTATGCCTTTCCTTACAGCTCTTACCTTATATATAGACTATTCTTACCCTAAAACCTTAAAACAATATAGTATAATATAAAAAAGAATATCTTCTTTCTTTATCTACCTTCTATCTTTGTCTATACTTATAGTAGTACGCCTGTTATACTAGATTCGCGCTAGCGCGTTTCTAATAAGCTATATAATAAAGGCTCTAGCCGCTCTTTACTTATAGTATCTTATTTACGTAAGAATTTGTTTAACATAAAGAATTGTTTATAGAGCCTTACTAAATATTTGTATTATATTATTAGTAAGTATCTTATAATACGCTACTAAAGAAGAGTATATAAAGAGACAAACTTTCCTTTTCTTACCTTTCTTTTTCTCTTTTTCTAAATCAAGTAGCCTTACCTCTTACGCCTTCTTAGTGCCGCCTTCTTTAAGCCTTCTCTCCTAAGCTATTACCTTACGCCTTACGCCTTCTCTTATTCTCTCTTTAACCCCTCTCTTACCTTATATAATACTACTCTACTATAGCTAACCCTACCTACTCTTACACTTATAAGGTATACTTCTACGCCTTTCTTACGCTTACTACGTCTACTATACAAAGATATAAGCGGCTAAGCCTAGGCTCGCCTATATTACTTAGGCAGGTTAGACTAAGTATAACTAATATACTACTAAGTATAAAGCTTGTTATAAGATCTTATAAGAGTTTGTAGCTAAGCTTAACAAGTTACTCTTCTTGTCTAATCGCGCTAAAGCCGCTATTACAGCTAATCCTGTCTCTACCTACTCTATAACCCTTAAGGCAAAGCTAGGGCCTTACTAGCGCTCTTTTACCTAGCGTATTAAGAGCTATTTTTACTAAGCCTGTCTTTAAGGCCTCTTATAGCCCTTACGTACTACTACTAAAGCCGTTCTAATTATAGTTAACGTACTATAAGGTCTCTACTACTTAATTAATGTTATTATAGACACCTATTAGTATAACATAAGTGTCTCCTTTACTTTACTAGTACTTACTAACCCTAGTTAGTCTAATCTCTTACTTATTACTAAGACAGATCCTTATAATAGTAACGATAATAATAACGACAATAATAATATAAAGGATAATAAGGATAACAACAGTAATAATAAGTAGTGGTCTAGTCTAGTCTAGTAGTCTTAGGCTATATAGTCGTAGGGCTTAGGTTGCGCGTATATGTCGCTAGTATATAGCTAGGACTTGTTTTTACCTTTTTCTTTTTTTTCTTTTCTAAATTAACAACTATTCTTAACCTAACTACTTACTATAACCCTGTTTAGCTTCTTAAGTCTGAAACGGCCACGCCTCTACTTGACCTCTACCTTAACAAGAGGGTAGTAGACTTTAAACAACGTCTAGAACGTATAAGTAAGGGCGAACTTATATAGTCTATTTATAATAAGGTAGCGACCTGCCTTTAATAACGCTAGAGACACTATTATAACACTACTATAGCGCTACCTTATACGTTACTTAAGTATAAGGCAGGCCGAGCTACGTAAGTAAAGGACTAGTATAAGGACTCTTTACTAGAGAAGACCTTATAAAAGAACTAGAAGACATAATAGACCTAACACGATAGTTTACTAGCGTACTACTAGGGTACTACCCTAGCTATACTACCCGCCCCTTTAGTAGATACCCTTAAGAAGTACTTACTCTTCTATAAGTATAAGAGCTTACTTTTAACGTAGATCTATACTAGTAAGGTTAGGCTCTAGGCCTTTCTTTTTAAACGTAAAGTACTAGAGGTAGCGACCCTTTAGTACCCTTATAGTAAGGCCCTAGAGATAGTAGCTTACCTAGTCCTTAACTACTAGTAGCTTAACTAGTAGTAGTAGGCCTTATAGTAAGTACTTTACCTAAGGGCGTTATAAACGTTCTGTAACTTTATAGTAGTAATAAAGAGAGAAAAGAGTGCGTATATACTAATCTACTAGTTACTATCTACTAGCCAGTTCTTATAGTTTAGGCTAGCTAAGTACTACCTAGCTAAGAAAGAGAGAGAGTAATCTTAGTTAACGGCTAGCGTCTTTTTAGTATCTTACTAGCGTCTTATTAGTATGTTTAGTATTACTAGGCTAAAAGGTTAAGTTCTAGTAAGGTAGTAATAAGGTCTTAGCGCCCTAGTAGTACTGTAATAAAGTATTTATAAGAGGTAGTACGTAGGTTTTTACCTGGCTTTAGTACGGTTTTACTACGTAATTTATATAGTATAGAGGTTCTATATACATTAGGCATAGGTAGTAAGAACAATAATAATAATAATACTTACTATAACCCGTGCCTTTTCTAGTGTTTCTCTTTTATAGTACTACCTTCTTATACTCCTAGACCGCGTTAGTAGCGTTTCTAAGGTTTCTTACCGGCTTTTACGTGTTGTCTATAAGGGCATACCTCTTCTATCTTACTAAGTATTGCCTTCTTATAGCTTATTCTTTGTATACTAGAATTAATTTTACTTTAAACTCCTTCTACCCTTTTATAACGTCTAGGCTAGGTAGCTCTAGTGTCGTGCTAGCTCTATAGTAGTATAGCTCTAGTAGAGATATATAGAACATAAGGTAGATTTTAAATACTAGAGGTAACTTAAGCTTGTAGGCTAACTTATTTAACATAATATAAGTGACTTTAAAAGGGCTAAGGTAGCGATCTAATAGCTTCTTGTTAGGCCTAGTAACTTAGAGGTGTTTAGTTAAGAGTATTACCTTATTACTTACTTAAAAGGACATAAGTTTACGTTTCTTATTATAAAATCTCTTTTACGCTTTAATAGCGTTATACTAGTGTTTATCTAGCGCTACCCTCTCTTTCTTAATCTACTTTACCCTCTTATATACTACTACTACCTCTCTCTTTATAATGTTGTCCTTAACATTAACCTAGATCTCTAGTAAAAACCTATATAGTACGTAGAATAAGGTTACCTTTATTAAGGAGTATACGCTATTATTATATATAAATTTAGCTAGAGTAAGTTTTAATGCCTAGTTGTCTTACTTATACGTTATGTAGACCTAGAGGTAGTATTTAATTATCTAGTTCTATACCTTAGTCTAACTGTTACTTTATAAGTAAAAGGTAGTACTAAGCTAGCGCCTTACCCTTAAGTAAAAATATAAAGAGGCCTAAAACTTACTTGTAAACTAAGGGCCCTTATCTAATACGATCCTCTCTAGAGTCTTAAAATCCTTAACTATATAGTACATAAAGAGTTCTACTAGCTATAAGGCTATAATTGTCTTATAGTATAAGATATAGCGCGCTACCTTTATATACCTGTCGACAACTATAAGATATAAGTTAAACACCTTTTTATTAAACTTACTTAGGGACAGGCCTATAATAAAATCTATTAAAATCTATGCTTAAGGCCTTGTTAGCCGTTCTAGTAGTACTAACCTACTATATAGCCGGTACCTCTTAGGTTTAGTCCTTTAGTAGACTATATAAGTCTTAACCTATTCCTTAACATTATAGTGTATACCTTACTAGAAGTATTTGTACTAGAGAAGCTCTAGTATCTTAGTAGTACTAAAGTGCCTTATTATTAGATCGTTATAGTTAATTATAAGGATCTTACTCCTTAAGGCCTTATTTTCCGGGATATAGACCCGGCTGTCGTACTAAAGTAGACTTGTTAAGTTAACGTACTACCTTAAGTAGTTATCTTTCTTGTTCTTAAGTTCTTTACTTATATTATCTCTTATAACATTACCTTAAATTTAGGCGTCTAGGCTTTATTACTCTTTTTTTATCTTATTACTAGGGCCTTATAAGCTCCTTATAGTAGTCTTACTACTACTAAGGCCTTGTCGCTCTCTTAAGGTAGTCTTACTATTACTAAGGCCTTATCGCCCCCTTATAGTACTAGCGCGTACCTTATGTATTAGTATTAATTCTTATCCTTTTCCCTAGGATAAGACTTAAACAAAATAACTATACTACTAGAACATACTTAGGCTATAACTAATATAAAAGAGCTATATAATTCTAACTAGAATCTATAACGCTACCTACTTAAGTAAGTATACCTAAGCTATACCTAAGATTATATACGACTAGAAAGAGAAAAGAATAATAAAAGAAAAGAAGAAAATAGAGTAAGAAGACATTACCTTAAGACAAAACTAGAACTAAGAAAAAAAAAACCCTCTCTAATTAAAGAAGGACTAGAGCCGATTATAGGTAGTAGTATTATTAATAGGTATGTAATTCTGTCGCTTATTAGCTATATTTACAAAAAGAATAAAGGGACCTTACGATAGAGTAGAGGGTCTAGATTATTATTACTATACTAGCGTTAAGCTAGTCTAACTAACTAGTGATCTTATAAGTAGAGTTATCTAAGAGGTAGTAGTAGGTTTAGCCTAGGCCTACTATCTTATAAATAAGGTACTAAGAACTTTTATATAAATTCTATTACTTATTAAAAGTAGTAAGAAGAAAAACAAAAGAGCTATCTACTATATAAGGTAAAAGGCAAGTAGAAGTAATCTTTTAAGCTAAGAGGACAGAGAAGCTAGGGCAAGTAGTAATAATAGAGCAAGTATACTTTACTACCTTTCTTACTTAAGAAAGGTGTTTAAGAGGAATCTAGCTAAGGGGTTAGTAAGGGCTAAGAGAAAAGAGGCTAAGGGAATTATACTTTATTATAAAAGGAACACTACTAGGCATAATAATTATAGACGTTATCTTCTAACGCCTTCTTACATTAGTATATAAGGTTTAAAAACAGTATTTTAATATAGTAAAGATAGTAACCCTAAAAGGATAACTACTCTATACTAACAGGCTTTTACTACTATATACGCAGTAAGTATACTACTAACCTTAGGTAAAGGTTAGTAAAGGACAGTACTAATATAAGATAGTACATATACTACTCTATAATACAGGTCTACTCTAGCGACTAACTAATAAGGTAGTAACGCCTCTTATAGTACTACCTTCTCTTTAGTTAGCTATAGTAGGCCTCTCTCCTTCTTCTTTCTTATCCTTACTCTTATTAGCCTTACTAACTCCCTCTCTTCTCTCTCTTCTCTTATCTTTCTTAGTATCTTTAGTATCCTCTCTCTTAGACTCCTTAGCGCCCCTTTCTTAGGCTTAGACTAGTACATCTCTTACTAACTTATTAAAATAGTCTAGGTTATTATTATTATTAATATTATCCTTGTCTTTATTTTCTCCTTTATCTTTATCTCTACCCTTACCCTTATCTTCTTCTTCTTTCTCTTCTTTTACCTTACGCGCTATAGCTACTACTTCTTACTTAAAGAAAGCGGCGCGCTTTATATAGATAGACTAGATAAGGGAAATTAATAAGGAGGTATCTTAAAGAGGTAGTAGAGCCTTAGTTTTATAAGTATACATGCCCTTAGTAAGGCCCTTCTTCTTCTTCTCTCTTTACTTTATCTCTGTCTCTATCTTAGTTATTATTATTACTATTACTATTGTCTATACTACTATCTTTATTATTGTTGTCGTCTTTAGCTTTAGCTTTAGCTTTAACTTCGGCTAGGCTATTACTTTCTCTAGTGCCGCTCCTAATCCTAGCTTAGCTAGTGTCCTCTCCTTCTCCTTTCCTTACTTAGTAAGGGTAAGGGGTAGAGAGGAACGTAGGTTAGCTATAGGTATAGGCCGCTTAGCAGGCTTTAGTTACGTAAGGTAAGAGCGTTAGTCTATAGGCAAGTAATAAGAAGTACTAACAATAAGGAATACACAAACCTTTAATAAAGTGTCTAGACTAATCTAGGCAAAACCTTTTTTTAGCTCTCTAGAGGTAGATCTATAGGCACTAAACATTATAAGAGGGCTAGGCAAAAACACTCTAGACCTACCTTAAGAAAGAGTAAAAAGGTTATTATTATTAACATTATTATTATTATTAAATCTACTTAAGATATAAGTGTTAGATCGTATAAGAATAGACTAATTATTAGCTAAATCGTTATATGTCTCTACTATAAAAGAACTAGCCTAAGGAGGCTTACTAGTATAGATACACTTACTAGTAGACTAGTAAAGTAAAGAGAAGTAGTTATGTCCTTACTTTTATAAGGTAGTAGTAAGGGCGGCGTAAGGTATCTTAAAGAAAGAGACGTTTAAGAGATATTAAAAGTACTTTAGGATTTTGATTTTAGAAAAGAGAGTTTAAAAGTAAATAAAGAGAAGGGAAAGGTTATAAGTAAATTAGTAAAGAGAAAGGTAAAGAAGTAAGATGTTTATATAGAATATAATAAAGACCCCTTACTAGTAAGTAACTAAACAAGCGACAAGAACTAAACTAGATTTAGTATAGAATAATAATTAGGACAATAATTAGGACAGCCCTAGGCCTATATTAAGACAAGCCTATATAACGTCCTAGCTAGTAAATAAAGGCTACGCCTAATATATATACAAAACTAGTACCTAAGGTAGTTATAAAAGTAATTTATAATATAAAGAGAGAAAGAGGCTTATAAGATTAGAATTTTTTATCTTAAGAGTTAAAAGAATAGTATATAGACAAATAAAGAGTAACCCTTAGGTAAGAACTAGAGTAACTATAAGTAGTTATTATTTTCTTATTTCTAATCTAAGAATAAAGTAGAGTACTAAAAGTAGTCTAGTGTATAAGAGGCGTACTATATCTGTAGCGATATCTATAGGCTTATATAAAGAAGATAAGGACATAACAAAAGGACCGGTAATATAATAGTGCCTTAGTAAGAAGGTTTTATTTTCTTTCTTTCTTATAGAACTATATATATACTAAAACTTAGTTTAAACTCTTATAGTACCTAGTATAGGTATTTAATAGAGAAAGATGTTACTACTACTACTATCCTTTTCCCTAAATAAAAGCGTCTTCTTATTAGGTATTCTAGATTAAGTTAGTTATTAATTCTAATAGTACGTTATATACTATTTTAAGGCCTATTACTAACCTAGCGGACTCTTATAAGATAAGATATCTATAGTTACTAGTCTTAGCAACAGGGTTAAGCTAGGTCTTAGCTACGTTACACGTACTTAACGGCCTTATAGCGTCTTGCTGTCAGGGGCCGACAATATAATACTTAAGTAAATGTCGGTTTTATTCTATAAGGAGAATACTCTAAAGAGAAAAGAAAGGAAAGGGTTTGTATAAGGCAAGAGGCAAGAGAAAACTCTACTATTAGGGCAGGGCAACGATAGTCCGGTTAGTCACGTACTTAGTACTAACCCCTTACCGGGTTCTAACCTGTAACATTACCTCCCCCCCTCTCCTCTCTATACTAACGCCTGATCCTATAATCTGTACTTTGTATAAGGGCCTTAATTAGCTCTTCTTAGCGAGTAATCTAAACGATCCCTATACTACTACAAATTAATTCCCCTCTGCCGCTACCCCCTTCTACACTATACGATCGTACTGTAATCTATTAATTAAGCTACTACTAGGCGTTCTAAAGTAGCTGCCCCTTAACGATTAGTAAGTCGAGCTCTCTTCTAAGCTTATACGGCGCTAACTTAGCCGCTAGCCTACTACTAAGCGTCCTAAAGTAGCTGCCCCTAACGATTAGTAAGTCAAGCTCCTTTCTAGCACGAACTCGTACGGCGCTAACGCGGGCGCTAGCCTATTACTAAGCCTTTCTTTTTTTTTTTTTATATATAGTAAAAATAGCTATCCTAAACCTACAGAACGCGTACAACACTACCTTACCTTTAGCTAGCCCTTACTAATACGTACATAGCCTTGTCTATATAGTTAATAATACTATCGTATAGTCAAACGCCCTTACTACTTAGTAGTACTTGATCCTATATATTGCCTCTCCTTATATCCTTACGTAACTTATCTATATAGACAAGTAGCGTTAAGCCTTAGCCCTTCTAGAGTATAACGTGCCTTTTTACCTTAGCTATATTACCTTAGTATAAGTATAGACGTATCGTCTGTTCTATATAAATACGATACTTATATAGCGCGTAGACGTACTTGTCTCTAGTAGCTGTTCTTTATATTATAGAAACGACTAAGAGGTCTTCTCTAACTACTAAGTACTACCTAGATTCTAGAATAAGGCGTATAAGAACTATAAATAAAAGGACTATAGTATAAGGTATTCTACTTATAGTAGTAGTGTACGACAGGCTTTCTTAGATAATCGTCTAGGGCTACTAGCCCTAAAGTAAGAAGAAGAGAGTAACGATAATAAGCCGGGCATAGGTATAGTTATACGTTTTCTTAGGAAAGGGTTAGGGTTGTACGATAACCTAATCGTACTATAAGGTCTAGACAGTAAGGGTTTAGCTAGTGTTTCTCTTACTCTTCTCTTC